AATTATTTGTTATGATTATATGATCATTGTTAGTTAATAATCTTTTTCACATAACAGCAACTCAATGAAACCAACACTTGTAGAATATAATGCAACCAGGACTCACTTCCTGTGCATGAAGCGGTGGATGGACTAGATCTGGAAATCTGTTGCACTAGATTGTACACGTGTTACAATTTCTATGTCCATTACTGTGTATGTGAAAATATAAGAGACAATTAAAAGACATAATATAAAAGACAAGGGCCAAGTCACAAGTAAGTCTAAAGTCTTGGCTACAAAAGTCTGAAGTCAAGACCAACGACCTGGACTTGGGTCCAGTCCAATCCCTAAATTTTAAATACCAAAATATTTAAGAGCAAAATGACATGTGTCTCGGTGTGTCATTCTTATTTCTGAGCTCAATGTTTTGCATATTAGACCGACAAACGCACCTTTCTCCATCCTGCTTGTGCAACGTGATTGGTTGTTGTCGGACTGAGTCAAAGTTTAGCTTTTTTTGTGACACATCATTTTTAATCTTTGGGTTTGGGAAGGATATCAAGTCATTCCAGGTTCAACGGCTAATTCCAAGTGAATGTACGAGTCAAAGTCGTGTTGCAAATATGTTTTCGTTGTCAAGTTTTAAGTGATGAATGAGTCAAATCTGTCTCAAGTCCACACCTCTGGTTATCAGTATTATTTTAAATCATTTTTATTTGTATTGTAGTGCATGTTTTACTGCTGGTTGTCAAGGCCTCAGATTCACACATGAAGGCAGATTGTGAACACATGTAGATTCAGTTTTGAGTCCAGTCACAGTTTCACTCACCCACCACCGCTGCCTCAGACTGGCTCTGTTTTAAACTTCTACAGATTCCACTCCAAAAGTCATTTGGCTCCTTTTCTAGCACCATTACAGATATGCTGTAGTATTACCCTTTTATTTGTAAAATTCTGTTACAAGGTGTACATGTACACACACAGCACTTTTCCATTATGTAATTATCTCATTTTGTCATTATATGTGCATATATATGCATTACATGTGCATTATGTGCTGGGGCTCAAGTACAATTACAGTTAGGTGTATTTAAGAACATATGCTGACTAACTGCATCATTGACACACCAGTCGCATTGACTGACCAAGAGGAAGACTGAAAATCAGCTGGAGAGGTTGAACTACTACAGAAAGCCGTGGCCTCACATTCAGACTAGAAAACTTACAATTTAATCTGTTGACAGACAGAATGTACACAACAAACGTGTTTCTGTGCTGTAAATTAATTGTAGAAAATATTCAAGAGGAAGGATTCTGCTGATTAAATACAATCATTCAGACAGTGAAAGCTGCAGGACATTTCATATCAAACCAAAAGTTCTTCATCAAACATAGAAAGTTATTGATTCAACTTTGCATTATAATCACATGACAAAAATAATCATTAATCTGCTTCATTTACACCATTTAAGAAATTAAATAAAGAACAGTAGTATCTACAGAACAAGTGCAATAAAGCTTTTGTAATCTCCTCTGTGTTAATTCCTTATTAAACCATTTTAATAACTCTTTACAGTAAATGTTCCACCACCTGCCTCAGTCTACTACAGGGCCAGTCCAGCCACATCTGTCTTCAAGTTTTCATTGTTGGACATTTTCCTTTTGTTTTAATGTTTTACATTCAGGTAAAACCATTCCTACCACATCTACTGAGGCTCATTCACTCCCACTGGACTCCAATATCATATATGAAACACTGACAATCCCTCAATGATGAGAAGCTGCTCATCATGTTTTTTTTTTTACAGAAGTTTGCATGTTCTGCATGTTCCCATCACAGTTTCATATCAAGTGTGGATTCAGGCCACCTGGGCCTTATTTTCCCATGTGTTTGTTTGAGCATAAAGCTGAAAGTTTTACAGGCTCATCTCAAAGAGTTCAGATCTTCATCAGTCCAGTCACACGAACTGTCTATAAATGGAGATGATTTAGTTCTGCGGCTACTCTCCTAGAGGTGGACATCCAGAACACAGATGATCAGTAATATAACAAAGAAACACTGCTCTCCAAAACTAGAATCACCTCCTCATCGTTGTATCCCTCCGCCACTCAGACTAGTTTCAGGTTGCATCCCTAATATTAAACATTTGTGTGAAATTTTGTCGTAATTTCTGTGTGAAGTTTTGAGTAATGTCTAAAAGGTGTTTTGTGATGTCACAGTGACCTTGACCTTTGCCCATCAAGATCTCATCAGTCTATCCTTGGAGTCATTGGAGTCTGGTGGCTTTGTGTAAGAATCTTGTTGTCAGACACTTAGAGTAACAATCTGAACCTGTTGCTGGCAAGAACAAGAACGCTTAATGACACAGATCAAACGCCCCGTTGTTTATGTTGTAGCAGCTGTTTAGCTTTAGTTGCCTGGTCGACTGTTCTGATTGTAAGGATTTTTGTCCCTATCAATCATTTACATCCAAACACATGGAAAATCAGGCCCAGGTTCAAAAATGTGAGTTATCTTTTAAGGCCCCGACACAATCTGTTTGTTACACATTACACTGTGTGAGATGGTCGACTACAACCCATCAGACTGTACAGTGTAATGTCAGTATTGAGGGCACATATACCAGCAGTTACAATGTCATGTCGGACACTGTTTGCATCATTTCATACTGTGTTCTGATTGGTTGGTTTGTAGGTGTGGCTACACTGAGCAGACTGTCTTTGGTTTCCAAAGCTCAGATCGGTTTTTGGTGTGTCTCACCATTGACTGATTTTCATCTGGGACCACACAGTGCATCAGGGTCTTTAGGATTTCCTCTGAAAATGTCCCGGTGTAATAGGCACACTACAAAGTAATGTACAGTCATGTAAAACAGAATGTTACAGGAAGTTACTGAAGTGCACACAACGTGCTGAGACTCTGCCTTTGCTGCTTGTGATTATTATTCATACCAAGGGAAGCAAAAGATGGGACGTTGGTGTCGGGGGGGTGAATTTCAAAGCCTCACACAATCAACTGAGCTTGTTCGACACAGTGAAAGGAAAAAAGAGACACAAACAAACAAAATAACAACCAAGAGACCATCCATCATCACAGACCATCCTGTGATGGGATCACAGCAGCTGCTCAATCCCAGTACTCAGTAATTATTACTACATGACCAGCTACAACAGTGGGGCTGATATCGTTTTCACCTTGTGAGTCCATACTGGTGGGTGTCTGTCTGTTTTTAGTTGTAGTTAGCTACACAAGTACTCAGTACGCATTGGTCCGACAACACCCATCTTTGAAAGTTTTGTGACTGTATCTTACAGATTGTGACAAAAACCTGTCCACACACATATAAACACCTGCCAGGACCTCCTCTGTGGAAGTTGCTGCTACAGTCAGTGTCTCCAGGAACACCTTTTGTCATGATGACACACACACACGGATCAATATGCAAAAAAAAAACCTTAGTGCGATTATTTTGGCAGATGTTGTGAAATGAGCCACAATTTTAGTGGGAATAGTTTAGAGTTTAGTTTTAGAGTAGTTTCTGCATTTCATTTTCACTGAAAGAAACACATAAATTGCCACAAAAATTATACACACACATGATGATTTTTGTGACATCTGGAGAATAATATTTGTAGCCGGGGTGTCTCTGTAGCACCAAATGCTCCATTTATGATCACACATTTGACACATTTAGCATTTATCAAAAAAAAAAAACTGCAGCTCCTGAGATATGGATATTGCACTTGGTCATATTGTGATTTCAATAATATTGTTCACAAGGTGAAAACGGTACCAGCCACGCTGTTGCAGCTGGTCAACACCTGGACGCCACTCTAACATTGCACTTGAAAATCAGAGGGTGGTCCAGGACAGGAAGTAGTCTGACTGAAGACTGGCAGGATGTTTTTGAGAAAGAAAAGAAATATTCCACATACAGTAAATACATAACAAGCCCTGCCCCTCTGCGGCAAGAGGCCTCTTGCTGCTCACAAAATAAGAAACATCTACAGAAGAATTAAACACATGTTATAACTCTAAACCCAGCTGTAACTGTAAAGGGAATAACGTTGTGGTGATGGAGTGTTGGGGCCACTGTTGTAAAGAAGTCTGAGAGTTTCAGAATGATCTTAATGTTTTGACAAAAGTCAGAATTTGCAAAGGTTGCAACATTATGACTGATAATTTTAGGAGAAAAGGTGATATTATGGGAACTATGTTGTAATTTTACGATCACAAGTTTAATTTTGAGAATACGTTAATGATGTTATGATATAGTTATATTTGAATTCTCTGTAGTTAACAGAACAGTAGTGTACTGACATTTACTAAATGAGAAGCGTGGAGGATCTGAAGGTTTTAGGTTTGAGCACATTATCACCAACTGTAGCTACACACTGTCAGACTGAGCTCAGGGTGAGACCTGACAACATTACAGCCCACTTGTTGCACAGTGACTGTATGTAATGACACAGGTATCATGTGGCTAGTGTGCACAGAGAGCACAGCTGTATACTTATAAAATGACTGCAGTGGAAACAGGAACGACAGTAACTGTGTCTGTGAACAGTGCACAGGCAGTGATCTACTGTACACAGTCTCAAAACATGACCAGTCTCATAATACCACCTTTTCCTGTAAAGTTATGAATTTATCTCTGAATTTTTCTTATGAAATTACATCTTTATCTTGTAACATCAGGTCTTTATAAAATTACAGTTGTGTCTCGTAATGTGACTTTTTCATCTTGTAGATCAAAACTGTTTTTGTAAAATTACAACGAATTTCTTTACTTTCCTTGTAAAGTTACAACTCTCTCTCTAATTATCTCACATAACTTTTTCTTGTACAATAACAACTTCATCTTAAAATTATTTTTTTGTAAAATGCCAGTTTTACTTTTATAATGTGACCAGTTAATATAAAATGACAGTTTTATCTTGTAATAGCATGTCATTAGTATTTTTTTTCTTTCATGTTGTGATGTTTCTAATGGAAAAACTCTGGCCTTATTCTTGTCGTTTTGTGAATTTTTTTTTTCATCCTCATAATGTTTGATTTCTCAGAATATTTGGACTATATTTTTCCTGCAGTGACTCTAACGATCCATCACAGTGTTGCGGGGCAGTGCACACATGAAGGGAGTGTTTGAAGCTTGGAAGCAGGTGACTGCTGTCATTAGGAGCCATTTGTAATTAAATACTTCTCTTCCTCTACAGATTAATTTGATCATAAATTATTATAGTCAGTAATTGGGCAAGTTAAATACATTTTGCGTGTAGACTATTTACAGTGAGGAATCTAAACATTTTAATTGCAGCACTCATTGCTTAAATATTTAGCTGCTTTATTTCCAGTTGAGTGCTCAGGTGAATGGAATATTAAAGAATCATATTTTTCTTTATATCTAAAAAAAATCAGTGTGCAATATGGCTACTCCTCTGCTCTATGATCAGGACACACACAGAGATCAGTGTAAAAATCAAGACAGAGTCACTGAACTCTATTCCATCCTGTGTTTAAAGGAAAAATCCACCCAGAAACACTTCACTCCATCCTGTGGTCAAGTGTATTCTTGAATACACAGTAAGCCAGAGATGACAGGAGTCAAAGATATTTGTAGTGTTTGACAGCAGAACATTTCTCATCAGTGTAAAGGCAGCAATCATACAGAGGCAGGTACGGTACACCTGTTCACCCCCAGACAGGAGCCTCAACAGACCCATCACTGCTCATTTCACTAACAAGTCATAGGTGAATGAATGAAATGAAAACAGCTTGTTTATGTCCCTACAGGAGTGATTAAACATGGCAAGAAAAATGTGAGCGATCAGACTTCAGGCAGAGGAAACATATATTAAAACTCTATCACTAAATCAGTAGAATGCATCAGGTACAATGTAAATGTATCCATGGGTGGATTTCTCTTTTAACTCTGAGGTCCTCTCTGACCTGACACATCAGACGGAGACACGCTGCCTGATCTAGTTCCATCGGTTTTCCTTCACATCTGGAAAAGTTACATTCACACTGAAATCCCTTTTTAAACATCTGTTAGGCTGGCACCATTTAGAGGACAGCTGGAAGACACGTGCACAGACTCGTCCTATCTAAAGCTCTGCTCCACCTCTTGGTCTTCAGACGGCCTTTCCTCTGAGGCCTCCTCAGTCTCCACCTGTGCCTGCACCTGCTCAGAGGACTCCTGGACTTCCTGAGGTGAGACGTCACTTCCAGTGTGTGAGTCCTCTGGTGCAGGTGGAGTGGGGGGAGGGTGGATGCTGCTGCTCACAGTGACACTCTCCTCCCTGGTCGTGTCATCGGCTTGTCCGATGGAGCTGGTCTCACTGAAGGAGTCGGAGCTCGCCCCTGGGCGCTGGAATAACCTCTGACCTGTGAGAAAACATAAAGACAGGAAGTGAACAAGGTGAGTGTTGGTTAACCTGCAGCAGCAGAGGGAAATATGTGTTGCTGTTGAGGCAAATGTTTCCACACTGACAATATTTAGAAGCCTGTCAAAAAACCTGCGGCAAAGCCTGAAGTGACAAAAACACAAATCAACACACTGTAGATAAAGAAAACTTCCTATCTGATCCAACAGAATCACCGCTTCAGTGGATCTGCTCATGGGGATGAAGTATATCTGTGAAAATGTTTTCACATCAAGTTGAAGTTTCACGGGGACGCCTCGGTGTCTCACCTGGTGGAGCGCCTACCATTAGTCCTACGCGCAGCAGCCTGGGTTTGGGTCCAACCTATGTCTCTTTGCTGCATGTCATCCCCTCTCTCTCTCCCCAACTTTCCTGTCCCTCTCTCACTGTTCCAAGAATAAAGGCATTAAAAGCCCAAAAAATTACTTAAGAAAAAAAAAAAAAAAAAAAAAAAACTTTCACAAACAGAGCTGAACTCTTAACGAACAGCGAGCTGAAAAGTCCAAAGTGGAGGACGCTATGGAAGCCTATTGGCTGTGTTGCACCATCTACAGATGACTTAGCAAGACTTATTTATTGGAACCTTTCAAAAACAAGGGTTGTCAAAGTGGTTTCAACCCACAGTCTGTAACTTCTGCCTCTATAGGGTCACTCAATCAAAACAATAATAAAAGACAGTGTCAGGTGATGTCATGAAACAGCGTGGGATCATGGGAGTCTCCTCCCGGTTTGGATTCCTTCAGTGTCAGCGGTTAGTGTCCTCCTCTCCATAACAAACACACCAGGGGATTAAAACCAGTAGAAACACTGAATAAAGCAGTTTGACTTTAAAAATCAGAGATTCAGAGACGCTCTTCAGTGACACAGGACAGGACGTCTCCAGCAGCTGGGAGCTGAGCTGTCTAACATTTCCTCAGCTTGTTTCTCTGATAACTTCAGATCCAGACGTCCGACGACTAAAATCCTTCATCTGGTTCAAATATAGAGCTGAAAACCACCAAGGTGTAAAAAGTGTATGTGGCTTAAAACTAGATAAAAGTCAATGTTGAGCTTCTGTCAGACAAACACACTGTCACATGATCATAGAGGATATGATATCATTGACAGGAGACCAATGACACGTACTGTTACCATGATTAAAATCACAGATTTCTCTGGTTAGAGAATTGATGGAAACATTTGGGAAAATGTAAGAACACAACTCAACATCATGTAGAACACAGGTCTAGATGTTTTTACATGTTTTCATGTGGAAAAGTTACAGATTACTTTAAAGAAAAAATATAAAAGACAATATAAAACAAGAGGCACTGGGATTATGTCCCACCATGGTCTCCACGACAAAAGAACATGTATGCTGAAAGCAATGATAGTTTGTCATCAAGGATACTAATTTGCATATTAATGAGGTAAAACTAAAGTTCTGCCAGACAATCCTACCTGGCAGTCTCTTTGATGAGGAGGTGGGAGTGTCCTGCAAGGACGGCCTTCCTGCCTGGGCCTTGGTGGAGTATGTTACCTCTGTGGAGTCCAGGGAACCTGTGTACACACACCATGAACATGTACATGTATGTTACACACACACACACACACTGATTTACATACTTTGATATATACTTTTTATAAGAGCTAATTAATTAGCATTATGCACACAGGGCTTTGGTTACAGCCTGCATGTAGCACCAAATATCACATGTATGTATGTTTTTAACATGTACTGAGCATAAGCTGTTCACATGCACTCCACTTGTCCATGAAGACGTAAGTGTATATAACATAAGATGACAAAATTAGTGTTCACAGGGAACATGGAAAAGTGGTGAACCAGGCTGGGACACACTTGTTGTTCAATGCTTTAACTTCAGAAGTCACAAAGTATTGAACAACATGGCTGCAGCTGAGAAGTCTTTTTTCTTAAGAAGGTTTAAACTGAGAGAAATGAGCATAAGTATCTGAGCAGCAGCCATGATCAGAGCTGCTCCACTTCTCTAAATGATGAGGAGAGGAGGATTTATCGTCCATGTGTTATATAAAATAAATAAATAAAGTTAGTTAAAAAAAAATTCATAGTGTAAGGGCAGTCGGATTCTCTCCGCACCACCGTTGTCTTTTCTTAAATCCTTATGAATTCTCTTTCACATCTTTCCTCGACCTCATGATTATTTCCATTAAGGTCGAGGAGAAGAGGTTAGAGAGGAGATTGTTTTGACTTTTCCACTTGAGCCCAAGTGCGTCCAAGCCGGGTTCATCACTTTTTAATGTCCCCTGGAAACACTTCCATTGTCATCTGTGCTACTTGCAGCACGTTTGTGTATTTGCTTTTGTTGTGAGTATTTGCAGCACGTGTTATCAAACTGATGAAAATGTTTTCTGAATTTGTTTGTGTTTGCACGTGTTTTTTGAAGTTGCAGTGTGTTGAGTTCTCAGCTTACTTCACAGCTTATCTGCTACAATCCAAACATTCAGGACACAGCATGTGTGCAAATGAGGAACAGAATACTTAAAACTCATTACTTACTATTTTTGTCAATAGTGTGTTTCTATCTGAATTAAAATGAAAAAGAAATGATTCTTCTTATTTATGATAATTCCCTCTATTCAAAGAGACTAGAGTCTCATCACACAGTGACACACAATACCTGCAGCCAGGTTAAAGGTCCTTCCCTTTATGGAGCTCTGAACTGGAGAGAACCAGTTTAAAACAGAGCCGACCAGAGGAAGCTGCCTCAGCATCCCCTATAACACACACACACACACACACACACACACACACACACACACACACACACACACACACACACACACACACAAAGAAGTCAATCATATCAGTGGATTAGATTTGTATAATTAAACACACAAAACCACACTCACAATTTATGAAGCAAGAGAGCAAACACACGTGTTAGTTTTACTACACTAAGGACCACCCACCATACTACATCTGTACACACACACACACACACACACACACACACCTCCTCCATGAGTTTCTCCTCATTGGCCTTCTGTAGCTGCAGCTCTGCCTCCAGGATGCCTTTCCTCACCACCTCTGTCATGTTCTCCAACAGCTGCACAGGAGAGAGTCATAACTATTTACAAATGTGATATCGTGATATAGTTTGGTTATCTTTGGTGACACCTGTGGTGATATGCAGTAATTGCTCATTTGTTCCAGACAGTGTCGTCTGTGTGATGTCATTTGGCAGCTGACACCTTTCTAGATCACTAGATGGATGATTGATGGGTTTACTTCTGTCATTTGTGACAGAGTTAACACTAAGATCTGAGAAGCCTGGAGCTCTCCCATCATCAAACTCCTGCACCTGACCCTCTGACCTTCACCTGAACTATCTAGCAAAGCAAAGCTTTATTTATACAACACATCTCATTCCAGGTGGAAGCACAATGTGCTGCATAAAGCATGAATTAGCAAGGAAGTTACAACCACAAAAACTATGTGAATAGTGTAAAGATAAAACATTAGACACAAATGAAAACAGACCCATAAATGATACGTATGAATTAAAAACCATTAAGAAAATGAAATAATTAAGACCAACAACCGATTAGTAAAAAAGTAATTATGTAAATTAAAAATATTAAAAAGTAGAAATAAAATGTAATTATTAAAATAATAATAATAAGACGACCAGACGACTAGAAAGAGCAGCTAAAAGGAAAGTTTCCAGTTCAGATTCAAAAGATGATAGCGTAGCAGCACCTCTCATATCATTAGGCAGCCTGTTCCAGCGGCATGGAGCATAAAAGCTGAAGCAGTTTCACCAGTTTTTGTGGAGACCCAGGGAATAACCAGACGGCCTGTTCAAGCTGACCTGAGGGGTCTAAGCTGGTTCATACCTCACAACCACGTCAGAGAGATACTGAGGTGCAAGACCATGTATGGCCTTTAAAACAAGCATCAAGATTTTAAAATCAACCAGCAGCCTGACAGCCTTGTAGGAAGTGGTCATGTCACAACAATGATACATTTCTGTTGTGAAACAATACATCAGCACAAAATAGACAAACAAATGTCCAAAATGTTTAATTTTTGATGACACTATATTCAGCAGGACAGGGAGAAGTGGAGCAGTGAAAGTCTCAAATCACACATTAATTCATGGTGATGTGGGCGAGTGTTCTGTGTTGGTGCTATTGGATCTCATACTGCAGGCCACAGCATCTTACATGCCTGTGTTGACTGCTATTATACTGCAGGGATAATGGAAACTCTTACAGTTCGAGGTCCTTATCTTTCACCTGCTGGTCTTCTCCTGAGATACAAGAAAACCTTGGTTCCTGATTTCAATCCAAGTCCTGTAATATTAGGTATTTACCAAGTCCAACCCTATACTTCTATTTACCTAACTCTCAATTAGATATGTACCATACATCATGCACTGAAATAACAACTACTTTATCTGACACACAAATTATTGATATGATGTGAATGAAAGTTTCACTGGGATTAAACATCTCCTACATATCAGTTCATTTGTTTGTAAGGACGATGGCTGTCATTTATTTTTTGTGATAATTGCATTCTATAGCTGTTTTGTTTCAATAAAAAGGAAAATCCTCATTGAAGCTCTGAAGCTTTCTATTATTTCTATGTTGAGTCTCTATTTTATGTCTTTATTTAGTCTTTTATTGTAAAACACTTTATTTATTTATTCTTTGATTCATTTGGAAGCTAATAGAATAATCTTAGGCCTGATGTAAAATTGTAGAGAACATTACGTTTCTGGTGTCAGACAAAATATTTCATCCAATTCTTTCTTTATTGAAAGATGGGCTATAATTACACAATGTCCATACTGTCCAATGACCTTCAGGTATCATATAAAATTAATATAGCAGTTACCCTTCCGCTCTCCTCTATGTCCCTCCCCAAGGCAGCTATTGTATCCACCAATTCTGAAACATCAACGTCCTCAGTCACCATGCCAATAAAGATACAGCCCTCCTCTGTTCCAAACTCAGGACCTGGGAAGAGAGGAAGAGAGAAGGCGAGAGTAACATCCATGCTGTAAGTCACACTGCTGAAAAGCCTCTATGGTGTGAAGCAGGACTAACCAGTGGAGAAGATGATGTCCGTGTCAAGCTCTTGTAGTTTCTTCAGCAGCTCGGTGTTAATTTTTTCCAGCTCCTGCTTCCTCCTGCTCTCATCCATCTCTTCAGCCTGCGGCTCGTACCTAAACAACCACACATCCGTCACAACCCCATCATCAAACCCTATGCTCACTTCCACTGAACCTCTCCCACTCATCAGTGTCCTTACCTCACCCACATGGACTACCTGAGGAGTTTATTAAATCAAATCATCAGTTTATCAACTTCATGTCTCCTGGACATGTTCTTCAGCTTGGATTCAAACCCTCATCTGTGCTCTGAACCCTTCATGCACTTGGCATAAATGAAAAATAAATGTGAGGTTAGAGTACCGGTCTGACTGATCTGATATCGGAAGAATCTTCTCAGAGACTTCAAAGCTGAATGTTCATTAAATTGATTCTATTTTCTTCATGTAAAGCAGATGGTTTACTGCAGAGCTCTTACCGGACAGCTCCCAGGCCAGGCCAGCTGAGCTCCTCCATGTATCTGAGCGTGGCTGCGTGTCGGTGGGTCTCCTCTCTGAAGTCCTGTCGGAGGCACATTGTGGAGCTCATCACAGGCACTAGCTCCATCAGCTTCTCCACCAGGTCCTCAACATCCTTATGCTGGGTGCCCAGGACTGGGTGGGAGGGAGAAGTCAGTTAACATACCAAAACCCCAATCCTTACCCTCACATAAACTGATGACATCACAGACTGTTGCTTTGTGAGTTTGCTCCCATCAGGGCACCGACAGGCACATTTTGAAAGGGCACTGCACTATGACTGATATTAACAATATTAAAAACACATGAAGGCAGAATGTTGTGCTTGTCTGTGTTTGTGTTACCTGCAGCAGTCAGGAGGGGGCTGAAGCGAACACAGGTTCCCTCGTCTTCAAGCTCCACCACATCTACTCCACTGGTGGGAACCAACTGAGCGAGCTGTTCACCCAGCTACAAACAAAGAGGATAAACATAAACTGAATTGTTGGTCAACTTAAGATGCAAGTGTTTAAAGCACTGACAACAAAACTGCCTGTTTTTATTTTGTCTGAAAAAAGTTCAGTTCTGACTCTTTGAACGTTTGCTGTCACGCAGAAAAAGTGCTGCTAATTTACTGAATGTCCTTGTATGATCCTGATGTTTTGAAACTGTTCACAAAAGAACAATAAGAAGAGTGACAGATTAAACCTGCATTAGACACAAAGTGATAGAAAGTGCTTATCAGCTAAACATCCATAAATCCATGGTGATATTCTAAAGAGTATGACACTGGGATATGAAGATAAAACACGGTGGACATGGTTTAGCTGCTAAAATTGAAGAAGCTGTCTGACATAACATCAAGAATAGTTTGTTTTTATTAACTCCATGCAATTTAATTTCATTGAGTTAATTCATTTGTCACACATTGACACATTAAAAACACAATTCCTGTTTCTGATCAAGACAACTTCACTGATGCAGCAGACATTTTGGATTTTATCGGAAAGCATTATATTTGCTACACCATGAACAACCTTTGTCCAATCTTTACCCAAGTTGGCACAGATGACTTTCAGACCAAGACTCACAAAACTCATCGTATGGATTTTTGATTATCGGAAGCGAAAACCAACTGAAATTGGCGGCAAAGGTGCAGAACAAGAAATCAAGTTATATCTCAGTCGATCTTTAATCAACTGATATGACACCTGCTGTGTGTGCTTACAACCACGCCCTTGGCATAATGACATCATGTTTCCATAGCATCTCTGGCCTGCTGGGCTGCTTGAACCCCTTATAATTCTCTGGATTTGTCACCATGAGCTATTCCTTTCGCACTCCACATAATCATTAATCCTTCAGAGGGACCTGGTTTTCTGCATTAACTGGTCATAAACTGTGATCTGATCATCACCTAAGTCTCAAATACCTGATAGACCTGATATCACACAAATAATTACAATCCATTGTCTTTATTGAACACAGCCATTAAACATTCACTGCTGTGGTGGAAACAGTCAGTGAACCTTGGATTTAATAACTGGTTGAACCTCATTTGGCTCCAATAACCTGAAACCAGCATCTCTACTGGATTCAGGTCTGGGCTCTGACTGGCCCGCTCCAGAAGGTGGATTTACTCTGATGTTCAGGGTCATTGTCCTGCTGCATCAGCAGCTTCTCCTCAGCTTCAGCAGGTGGACAGACACCCTGACATGATCCTGGAAGAGACCTTGATAAACAGGTCCAGAGGCAGCAGAGACCCAGATCATGATGCTCCCTCCACCCTGCTTCACCTCTGGGAGGATGTTTTCATGTTGGTGTGCAGAGATCTGTTTACACCACACATAGAGCTGATGTTCTTCACACAGTCCAACCTCAGTCTCATCAGTCCATCAAACATGTTCCAGTTGTGTTCTGGAGAGTCAAACTTCAGCTCAGTGATGCAGCAGCTTCCTCTGTGGTGTCCATAGCAACAGGACTCCATGCTCCATGATGTGTGAGTGGTGGACTCATGAACAGAGATATGAACCAGCTCCAATGGTTCCTTTCAGCCTTCAGCTGTGTCTCTGAGCTTCATCTGTGTTGAGCTGCTGCAGTGTCAGCTGACGTCACGTCACTGAATCATCTCCATCTGTAGACAGTCTGTGTGACTGTGGAATGATGAAGATCTGAACTCTGTGACCCTTTCAGCTTCATGTTCATCAACTCTACTTCATCCTCAGTCTCTGAGGTCTTTGTTGTGCTGTCTGGTTCACATCAGCTGATGTTTCTTTAAGTGTCTGAGTGTTGTTTAGAAGTCAAAGTGTCTCTAACCCAAACCTCCAATCTGGTTTCACTGACTGACTCCAGGTCTGATAACTCCCCACTCCAGTTAGCTTCTGTTCATGTCATTAGTCGAGGTTCACACTGTGAATGTTTGAATCATGTTTTCAATATGGACAAGAACAACACAATGATTTGTGTGTTGTTAGTTGAAACAGATTGTTTGTTCATCACTATAACTTAGATGATCTCATCATATTTTAGGACATTTTATACAGAAATGCAGATAATTCCAAAGTGTTCTCTTACTTTTTCTTGTCACTGTGTATAAAACATTAGTTAGTGCAGTATTAACTAGCATAGGCACAAATATATAAAGTATAGAATAGAAGAAAAAAAAAAAACACTCACCCATCTGTTGAAGGCATCCAGGACCTCTTTCTCCCCAGCACAGTATCCCTCCACTGAGCCCCCACTGGACGCTAAAAACATAGCACAAAGGGAAATAAAGCAAAAATACAATATTCTGTTTCTTTTATGTATTACATTATTATCTTTGTATTAGGACTGGGCAATGGCCTAAAAGTAATATCACAACATTTTTAGGCTATATCGTGATACATGATATATATTGTGATAATTTGAAATCCACTGTGTAGAACTTCATAAACACATGATTTAACCCTTTGGTGCATAAAGAGACACTCTCATGCTTCGCTGCTGTTTTGTGTGATCTAGAGATTCAGCATCTCACCTGTTTTTCACTTATGATGAGCGGTTCCCAGCAAAAATAGACAGGAAAACCTTTGTTGATAGTCATACTGATATGATACCAGCAACATTATGTATAACTGGCACCTTTCGCTAGCCTATAGTTTAAATGTCTGGTCTTTATATGAATATGACACAAACATGAAAAAAATATACAACTATATATCTATAAATATAAATATATATAAAGTTGTATATATATATATTATTTTAAACCATTTTAGCAACTGCATGGAGAGACAGAGGAGACCACATGTACTAGACGGTCATAGCAGAAACCCAATGTTAGTAAAATTATGTTGATAATTTAACAGGTGAAGGGCAGTATTTTACAGGTGCTCTTTCTCTCTCTCTTTTGCTCTCGATCTCTGTGTGTGTCTTGCTGTGAACGAGTGAAAACAAAAGCCAAGGTAAACCGTATGTAGAAAGACAGAGCTGCAGTAGCAGCAACGCAGCTGCCGGCCACACGCGAGGTAGACAGTCCAATACCGTTTCTTTTCTGAACCAATTCGTCTGCCTCTATCTTCAGTTAACGTTTCTACATACGGATAAACTCGCTTAAGCGATTCACTTTTTTCGCTTTTCAGTTCCCTCCGCTCCACATACATTCACACACGCCTCCTCACCTACGTCACACATGCGATGTCTTCAGAATGGGCGGGGATGCGTTTCTGTGACAGGGAGAGAGCGAGAGGAACGAGACGCCAAAGAGAACTTCATGCAGCGTGTTAAACCAATTATGTGACAATTTATAATCGGTGTTCGCGATATTGTCATGTTATACATCCCACGTGGAACAAGCCGCGATACATCGAGTATATTCGATATATCACCGACCCCTACTTGGTATTATCTCAATAATTAATAATCACCACCCAAAACTGTTATTTGACTTTGAGAAAAGTGTAAAAAAAAGTAAAATAAGCTCAAAAGGTCAACTTACTAGCTTTTCAGAGCTTTCAAGTACATCTCATGGTCTTCTTCAGCTAAAGACCAGAGTGTAGAGGAAAACAACTCACACAGACCTTTGACTCCAACCACTATTACCAACATGAATGATCAGTCAGGACCTTCCCACACAGAGCACATCTTATCACTGAGGAGGCAGATTGAGAGAGGGAGGGGCAGAGGGTCCAAGGGCCAGGTAAGGCAGACAGGTACAAGGAGCGGATGATGAGAGATCCGCCCCGACACAGACACCACAAGAGGCCTCCCAGGGGGACTCAGAACATCTAACCAGTGTCCGTAAGTCACAACAAACCATTTAGCATCTTAAGATCTCTGCTGATCTACCCTAAAGACAGAGGAGAGGAAGAGTATGACATCATCATGACATCATCGCATGTAAAAGCTGTGGACCCTGGATAAGAGACTGGATGAACAACATCAGCTGTCTGTGAACATCAGACCAAAACCATCCAAGTCTCCACAGGCAGGAGGTCAATGGTCGACTAGAGGTCAGTGGATGACCAGACAGAGGTAACCGGCCCCCTGTACATACAACCACCTGTTATCACATGACCACAGTTCTGTACATGTGCTGACAACTGAGCAAGTTCCAATCTCTGATGAAGCAGTAAAAATTAGTAAGTTGACCTTTGAGTTTAGAATTTATTATTATACAGATCCCTTTTTTTTCAAACATGTGTAATGTTAATTCACCACAGGGTTGACATCCTGTGGTACATTACTGCTCCAACATTAAAACACAGTCCTGTCTCCATCATGTTAGTCAGGTCCAGAGAGTGAGACCCTCACCAGCACTCATTTCCTGGGAGAACTTGAACAGCACCACAGGTGAGTTGAGTTCATCCTCCACCTGTTGGACACAAAAACACACCGATCAGAAACCTGAGACATTCATTATCATTAAATCTTTTCAAGTGACTTTCTTAATGACATGCAAAACAATTATCATGTTGAAAAGGTGCAATGTATTTAAGAGTTTGCTCTGTGTGCATGCCTTTTGAAGCTGATATATGTGGATGGTCATTGTAACTGTATGTCACATACAGATATTCTGTATTGGAGGGGATGGTGCCCCAGGTTGTTGCCTCTCAGTGGTATGGAGCAGCCCAAAGCAAAGCTACAGCTCCAGTTTAGAAGACTCAGGGGGCACAGATGCCCGAGCTGATGCTTGATTTAGATAAAATCAAAACTAAACTGAATAAACAGATCAATAAATGGCATTGGCCACTTCAATTACCCCAATATGACTAGAAAATATTTCAAAATAAAGTCCATGAACCATGCAACAGGCAGCACCTGGACTGGGTTTTTGAGTAGATCACCCAGGGTTGTTGTCTCCTGTTTAGCATCATCTTAATATTTGTGTCAAAAGGTATGATATATAAATTTTCTACAATAAAATGTCTAAAAAGAACTATACCTATGTTCTATATGTTGTTGAGTTGTGTTCTTACATTCTCCCAAATGTTTCCATCAATTCTCAAACCAGAGAAATCTGTGATTTTAATCATGGTAGCAGTACGTGTCATTTGGTCTCCTGTCAATAACATCATATCCTCTATGATCATGTGTTGTGTTTGTCTGACAGAAGCTCAACACTGACTTTTTAGTTATCAGAGAAAAAAGCTGAGTAAATGTTAATGGCAGCTTGGCTCCCAATCAGAGATGTCCAGTGCCTGATTAACAGTATTAGAGCAAGATTGATTTTTAATTTGAAACTGCTTTATTCAGTGTCTCCAAACGCTTTAATCCCCTGGTCCATTTGTTATGGAGAGGAAGACACCTCTGTGGATAATTCGGCTGCTAGTAACCTCCTGAATATCTGGATCCTAAATTCTCAGTGAAACAAGCTGAGCAAACATTAGCAGCAGCTCAGCTTGCAGCCCCTCTAAGGCAACCTGTGTTCATCAAACAGCATGGGAGAAAGACTGATTTTAACGTCAAACCGCTTTATTCAGTGTTTCCATCAGTTATAATCACCTGGTCTGTTTGTTTTGGAGAGGAGGACACCTCTGTGGATAATTCGGTTGCCCTTAAAAAACTCCTTAAAGTCTGGATCATAAGTTATCTGAGAAACAAGCTGAGCAAACGTTAGTGTCTGTCCGGCTTGCAGCCCCTACAGGATGAAACTGTTGTATTCAGTGTTTTTATTGGTTTTAATAATTGGGGTCCATTTGTTTTGGAGAGGAGGAGACCTCTGTGGATAACTCCAGTGGATAAAACCAATGACCCTGAAGGAATCCTATACTGGGAGAAGCTGGCTGCAATGACAGCAATGGTGGTGAACAGGAAGAACTCCCATGATCCCATGGTATTTCACAATGTCCTCTAGAGGCAGAAGTTACAGACTGTGTAACCAGAATCAGATTCAGAAAACAACTGATCTCTGTGAATTTACATGTGTTACAACACTAAGCCAGGAAATAAAACCCAGAGTGAAGCCAATCATTGATGACATCCAGGCGAGGGGTTAAGGCAAGCATCATGCCTGGGTTGGGCTGAAATGAGGGCTAGTGTTTCTGAGGTGTTGATGTGAGGGTCATGAATAATTCACGTGCATGTGTGGTGCTGTCAGGTTATAAAACTAGAAAAAGAAGTGTCTGTTTGTCAAATGGTTATTTCATCCAGGCCTTGTCTCAAGCCCTCAGTATGCTTCAAACAAAGTGCTGGATCAGTATCAGCGGGATCTGAAAAAACCCTCTTCCCCTGATGGAACTGTCTAATGATTTTTGTAACTTTCCAAAACAGACAATCTGACTTTACACAGTGACTGGACAGGTGAAACTAGATAGGGATTTAACTTCTTTCTCAGGTTCATATTTGTTTTTAACAAAACTACTTCTGTGACGTACAACTGAGTGTAACACCATGAATGCCTCTGAGGAGACTCAGCACCCTCTCTGTATGACTCATCATATCTTGCCCCTCTCTATCAGACCCACCTATGACTGTGGTGACTTTTACCTTTGGACAGGATCACAGAGTGTTTGAAGTGTACTAAGACCTTAAAGGTTTTAGTGTATCTAATGTAGTTAGACTGTTGGTGGGCTGAGGCACAGGGAGCAGCTCAGATGGCTTCTTCTACAGGGTTTTCTCCCTTTCATGGTGGACCCCACAGAAGTATATAAGTATATATAAGCAACAGTCTCACAGAGGACCCAGGAGTTACCAACAGGCAGAGCTAAAACAGACAACTGAAGGTTCAGGAAACCACATCAGAGGCCCAAACATACTACTGTTGATGTTTTCAACCAAGCAGGAAGAAGAAACAGTGGTGTAGACAAAAGAAAGAGAAAACAAAACCTCACCAGATATGATGCCTCTACTTGTGCCATGAGAATAACAGACTATGACAACAAACATGTATCAACCAGAGAAAAGGTTCAGCTCATGGCAAACAATGATAGAAACTATAACAGAACTAGAATTACCACCTCGCAGTTGTCTGCCTCCCAGTATGGGTTGCTCTCATCTTTAATTTGCCCCTTCATATTGAAAGGAGCCAGTTTGAGTCTTTGGGGCATCTGACTGGGATGCCTACCTGCCATCTCCAAGTGGGAGGACAACTTTGGGCAGACCCAGAACATGCAGTACATGCAGTATATCTCCACATGCCCAGTGTTTCAAGTATTTCCTTGAGCTAGAGGATGTGGCTGAAGAAAAAGGTATTGCTAACATTTCAATGTATGATAATAAACCAGTGTTGGAGAAATTAAAATGCTGACTTGATGACTGCACCAGAAACCAGAATTACCACCTCATGGTTGTTGTCAGTCACGCTGCAGTTTACATTCATGTCTGCCCAGACTCATATAATATACTGTATGTAGTGAAGCCTTTGAAGGAAAATAATAAAAGGTGCTAAGATTCCAGTGAGAAACATGCTGTTTTCACTCAAGAGATTTTTTACAGAGGAGCACAGAGCACTGATAGAGAGCTTCATCACATGGTGCAACGACAATCACCCGAAGCTCAATATCATCAAATCCAATCAGCCTGTGGTGGACGACCAGAGAAACAAGAGGCCTCCTGTACTGGTTGTCATCCAGGGAGAGGAAGTGAGGAGGCTCAACTCTTACAAGACAAATCATTGAGGCTGAGTCCTTTACAACACAAAGTTGTAGCCATGACAGTAGACAAACATGGAAGCTACAAATTCTAAAACATGTTTGCTGCTCATACATCTTCAGAGGATCTATACAGTCACCACAGTCTCAAGGTGGACACCAAGATCAGTGTCACCAGTTCAGTATCAGACCTAATGTGAAATATGGTAACAACGTCCCCTTCTGTTCTTGAGTTACAGCCAGAAAAGAGTTTCTGCAGAATGTTATGTCACAGTGATGCAGACCTTTCACCTTTTGGATGTAAAATGTCAGTGGTGACAGTTGCTTTGTTCCAATTCAGCGATCACATCCTTCAGAGGATGCGGTCTACAACGGTATGGCCCTTCATAGCCATGACAGACCGAACTGAAACGAGACGGTCTGGGCTACAGAAGATTTTTTCTTTGTGTCAGCCCTTACCGTTACATCACGTCGCTTAGCAACCTTGAACACATGCAACTTTTTTTCACTAAAACTTGAGGTTTTCAGCTCCTTAGTTTTAACAGTTGTACTGTTAGCTCTACCTACATTTCAGGCTCTCTGTTAGTGTTGTTTGCTTTCATTACCGGCGTGCAGTGAATTTTGGATGGGTTGGACCAGGAAAAGAAGGATGCAATTCTCGCCACATTTGAAGGAGCCTTCAAAATGGGACAGTCTAGTCTTCAAATGAAGCCTCTGATGAATGCAACTCCTGAATTAGGACACAGCTAGTGAGATATTAAAATGTGATCCAGGAAGTCCAATTGAAGCAGATGTACAGTATGCTGAAGTTATCAAACCCCAAAACACTGCACAACAGTTTACGATACTCACAGGAGTTTAGAACAACTCATCATGGCTGCATCTACTTTACTTCCCTCACAATCATCACAGGGTAACAACAGAAACACGGTATTCATGTTACAGATGTGTGCTTGCATATATTTGACTGACCCACTCAGCATCTTGCCACCACTGCAGCAAAAGTTGAAACCAAGTGAATTTACTCATTTGCCAGACGCTTTTTTCCAAAGCAATTTACAAGTGAAGGACATCAGCCAAGCGTCAGTGCAGTAGGAGACCTTGGTGTAAGTATTAAGTACTACATCTATTTAAAGTGCAAGGAGACTCTATAAGGAAGTGCAACAAAAGTGCATAGCAAGTGCTAGTTATATATGTTAGGTTGTTAGGAGAGGAAATGCTCTCAGAAGAGATTCATGTTGAAGATAGAGAGAGAAGCCCCTGCTCTGATAGATTTTGGTAGCTTGTTCCACTATCAGGGAACCACAGACCAGAACAGTCTGGACTGAGACTGTTTGTGAGCAGGGATGGTGATGTCAGACCACATTCCTTGGAGGAACACAGCGGCAGAGAAGGAGCATAAGGCTGAATGATTGAGTTCAAGTCGATGGAGCATACCCAGAAGTCCCTCTGAAGGCAGCATCTCAGCAGAGATTGAACGTGATCCGGGCAGCAATGGGTTGACTGAAACATGCAGCTGCATTCTGGACCATCTGTAAGGGTTTCACTGTGCATGAAGGAAGGCCTGCCAGTAGGTCATTGCAGTAGTCAAGGTGAAAGATAACCATGGACTTAACCAAGAGCTGGGGGGTGTACTGCATCAGGTGCTACCTAATGTTTCTGATGTTGTATAGAACAAAGCGGCACAACTGAGAGATGTATGCAACATGGTCAGGGAAGGAGTGCTGGTCATCAAACATGACACCTAGGTTTCCTGCAACCTGAGTTGGGGTAAGAGAATTTTATTTTTTTATCATGCAGGGCTACTGTCAGTACAAACATGGCTTCATGTATCAGGAGGTGCAAGATCCTCACTACCACCAGTATTCGACTAGTCCTGCTTCTACACTCAGAACTCAGCATATATCCTCAGCCTTGTCTAGCACATTGTCCACTGCCCTGCACATTTGCACCCAAGTGTGCATAATTCTATTATATAGCATATCATTTATATATCTATATATAACTATAACTATCTAACTTTAATTTTGTGTTCTTTATAATCATTCTGTTCACACACTCACTTTTAGCAAATAAGAAACTGTCCACTACCAACATTTGAAAATGAGGAACCACAGCATTTGCTACAAAACTTTAACGTTGCAAATGACTAAAGTTATCAGGCTATGAGCAGAATGGGATTTTATGTTTGGTAGAGTAACCAGCTTTTGCTCCATCAGGGACAAAACGTTTCTATCAAGCCTGGATATTTCTGTTTGAACATTTAATATTAACAATATCTGAATACTGGAATTTCTTTTAATGGTAAAATGACATTTACACATATTTGGATTGTAAACTAAAGGAAGTAATGATATGCAACAGCATGTGACACATTCATCAATTATTCATGACCCTTGTATTTCTTCAAAAGTCAACAAAACATATTGAGCGTGGAGAGGCATTCCCTGAAGTACCTCAAAGGACATGCCTGAGTGGTCCACATCCTAAACAATTAGGAAGAAGTGAACAGTCCATCAGCCAATGGAGACCCAAAAACCGCTAAGCTGATGTAGGTGAAGGAAAATGGTCAGGAGTGACAGGAAGAAAGAAAAGGGAGAGAGGGGAGGACAGAGGGGGAGGGAGGGGGCAGTGAGGGAGAGAGGCAGAGGCTTGGTCCCACCTACAATAGAGAGCATGAGAGAGCCCAGAACGTCCCGCAGTGAAGCCCCGGAGATAGGCGGGATCGGCGGCACCACACCCTGGAACCAAGGCAACCCACACTGACTATAACTACAGCTACACACACACACACACACAGACAAGCACTCACACACCCACCTGCAGACGCACACACATCTCACCAACACAGTGGCACTCTGATTGTTCACTGCATCTTGTTTACAATAGTTTTAATGTATAATGTCACTTTGTGTTACATCCGAGTGACTGTATAGATACAGTATCTGTAGTGGATGTCAGTGAACAAGCTTTAAGTCTGTACCCCCTAAGACTGTTTTTGTATCAACACCACTCTGATGTTACCATGGTCAAAGCCTCGACGAGAGAGATCTCTGTATCTGTCACATCCTATAAACACAAATGGTTTTGTCTTTTAACTCTGGAGTCAAGTTAACACATGAAGAGGTTCTGATCCTTTGTGCTGCTGTGGACTTTCTCACCAAACATAACATGACACTGAAGCTGTCCATTATGCAAATAAAATAATAAATTCATCAATATTTCTCTGTCAACATGTGTGTTTGAATTTTACATGTGACTGGTGAATATAATACAATAAATCAGATCAGTTTTTCTTGTATATAAGAGATGTAAATATCAACACTTTTCATGGTGGTGTGTTGGGTCTGACGAGGTGGGTCTGATTAAAAATAATGAACTGAGCGGATTATCTCTCCAACAGCTATCTCAGCTACTGATGTCATGAACTTCACAGTTTAACAGAAGTTTATCTGTCTAATTCCAGTTCACCACTGAGATCTATCAGCAGCTCATATTTACTTCCAGCTTGCTCCATCAGCTGAGAAAAGCGATACATTCACTATAACCTCTTTGTACCTAATCTATTTAAGTATTTAAAGGTGGTGATATCCTAGATTTTTTTTTATTGTCAACAATTTAAAATAAAAACTAAACCACCAATGCATGTATCTACTAGCACATACTGGTTGTGTATCAAAGCCTGATACATCTTATTCCTCTGTGCAGAACTCCATCAATGTTCCTTCATCACCATGAACACACACACTGTAGTTTATTTTGACTCAGTCCCACACACAGTCGTGCTGCTGAAAATACGTACTACAGCACTAAATGTGGATTAATCACCACTGAAAATAGTCCCCAACAAATGCACTTAACTATCGCAATTCTTTTTTTAAATTATTTTTTAATCACTAGTTGATTCCTAAATCAATTTTTATTTTATTGCCAGCTATTACAGCTAGCAGCTAACAGTTAGCCTGATAGCATCAGCGCGTAACAGAGAGCGGCTGGAACTGCCACTAAACAGTGAGTTTATTTATTCCATTTAAATTTTTTAATAAGACATACTGTGTCAACTGTTAAGTGCCCACTTTGAATAAATCTTCATGTTTAATGGCACCGCTGACTGTAAATGGTTTAACTCCCGCTAACAGCTAACAGCAACTGTATTTGCTAACTGTTGTCTGACCGTCGGCTGACTGGAAGCCTCAAGTTCACAGCAACTATATCAACACATCTGACCCGAGACGAGCTTAGTGCTTCATAATAAAAGCACCAGTTGTTCTATGTCAACACATTTCATTATAACAACACTTTATTTATCTTTATTTACTTTGACTGCAACAGTATTTAACTTTATTGTAATAGTTTAGTTAATAGTTTATTTAACTTAAGTACAATTACTTAACTAACATTATACAACAGTTAGTTCCAACCAAGTAATTTGAGTGGATGAGAGTCATTCCATGAGTGCTGATAATAGAGTATAACAGCACTGGGACTTTTAACAACATGTATCACTCCGCTTTATAAGTGTTCTATTAACCGTAAATCAATGTTACATTAACGGTCGCTATCTATCTTAGATTGTAACAAATTTTGCAAAAATGAAAACATTTCCAGAAAGAAGAGTCAGAAGAGGATGAAGGAAGGAAGCCTGGATAGTTCAGCACACACCTCCAGCTGCGCTCATATCACATCATCAGGTCAGGGAAATAGCAACAGTCAAGTAGATGTTAATACCAGGTCTGAACAGGGCCTTAGACTGATTATATACAATATATGGTAGAATGTATGATTCAAATTTTTCTCACGGTCTAGTGTTAAAAAAAGTAAACAAAAATAAATTGAAATTGGAATTGAATTATTGAATCGCAACACTTAAAGATTGCAATACATATCGACTCTGCACCAAAGTACCGTGATGGTATTGAATCAGGAGATAAGCGTATCGCCCCCGCCTGCTTAAGGAAACGAGAGAAGAGAGAAGAGAGAAAAGAGAAGAGAGAAGAGAGAAAAGAGAAAAGAGAAAAGAGAAAAGAAAACTGATGCTGTTGGGGATGACAGCCACAGACAGGGAGGGGAAGTCATTCAGCATTGAGAGACACATTGTTGGCTTTGGCTATTTTTGTTGACAATAAGAGTAAATAGAATATCACCACTTAGTACACATACATGATGCTGCCGCCCTGGTACTCATTACAGCACCAAGTATGGATTAACCTGCTGCTAAAAATAGTTCCCAACGAGTGCTTTACTTCCTCCTGTGTGACTAATGTATGTTAAAAACTACAGTGACCAGATGTTTTAGAAAACATATATACTATATATTTAAGATTTACATCTTCAGGAGGAACCACTGGGACTGAGAGACATAGTCGTGACATCAGGAAGTACTGAGAGACAAACACACTGATAGTTTTAATCTTTTCATGGCAATAACAAAAAACATGGAATAATACCAGAGATACTGCAGTAACACCTGTGACGTCTCTGTATGTTCTTATATTTATAGTAAAATAAGTTATTTCATAATATTTTGTTGCAGATCTATACTTTGATCATCACACCTACAATGTTCTTCTTCAGGATGAATTATTTCCTGAAGGTCATCTTTATAGTCTGTCAGTCAGGGCAGCATGTGATACAGATACAACAGGGCTTTATTGCCACTAACTAGTATATTTCAATGACTTTGCTCACAGTGGAGAATCCTTGATCTATCCTCATGAAGCCTGTTCGGCGTTTATTACATTATGTCATTATTGATGGCAGATCACCTACCGATGTCTTGATTGAGGCCAAAGATTTCAGTTTCTGCAGGAGTTGCTGGCTCTGGAGGAAAGAGAGAGATAAAGGCGAAGTGATGCACCAAAGTTCATTTCTGAAAACCCTGTTTTAGTTGAAAATGTTTAAACTGGTTCAGCTTGTTGGGACATGTGCTTGTTTGCTTTCCTTCTCACAAAGAGAAGAGAAGATTGATAACATCTCCTGCAGTCAGGATGCAGTTAGCCTAGCTTAGCATAAAGACTGGATGCAGGGCTACCCTGGCTCACATACATTGACTGACACACAGTATCTTGTTTGTTTAGTTTGTAAACAAAGAGAAACATAACATTAAGGCCATTGAGGACAAAAAAAAGAAATTTCAAGAATAAAGTCATTTTGAGGACAAAATCATAATATTTCAAGAAAAAAGTCATAATATAATGAGAATAAAGTTGTAATTTTAGGTTGTGTGTTGTTTTAGAGGGGAAATATCAGAAGCTTTAAAATGAGGAACATGGAGCATCCTGTGAAGTTCTACTTTAGCTGGTTTCACAAATAAGGAGAAACTTCATCATCATCATCATCATCATTATTCAGTTTTTTTCTATATCTATATTCTGTTGTTAGACAGACAAACAGAAGCAGCTCAGGCTACCACTGCCTGCCCTTTCACCTCTTTGATTGGTTGATGTAATATTCCTAAAAATGTGTTTTTTTTCTCTCAAAATTTTACATTTTTAATTCTCATAATATTACGACTTTATTCTCAAAATTTCTGATTTCTTTTTTTCCCTCAATGTGGCCCTAATACTTTAGACAAACATTAGTTTATCCATCCAGTACTTTTGTGCAGTGTCTCTGGCTACAGAACAGGCTTTGGTTTTGGTCTCTGTACAGGCACAATGGTACCTAACCTAGAAACACTGCCTGACTGTTGTTTGCCAAGAAATAGTTCCAGCACATAACTCCCCCTAACTACTATGTTGTGTCTCATTTGTTTAGTCTGCACACAAACAGAAATGTAAAAGGGATGGCCTGTGGTTTAGGGGAAGAGAAGTGATGCTCACCAGAGCGGCGGCATGTTTGATCTTCTGGACAATTCCATTGTGACCGAGGTACTGCAGAGAGAGCCAGAGAGGCAGCGCTCGCAGCTTCTCCACCGGCTGACTAGAGGTCAGACCTGCTGCCAGAGACTGAGAGACAACACAGAGACACAGAGCGGTGAGACAGTCAGAGAGCTGGACAAAATACAACTAATCCAAATGAAATAACAGGGAGGGTCCTGGTCCTGTGGAAAACATCATGTCTTGTTCTGGTCCATAAAGTAGGACGACCGGCTGGGATAAATGACTACAGACCGGTGACCCTCACATCACACATCATGAAGACCTGGAGCGGCTGCTTCTCCACCTTCTGAGGCCACAGGCTGAACATGCACTAGACCCCTACAGTTCACCTACAGAGAACATATTGGAGTGGATGATGCTGTCCTTTACATGCTCCACTGGGCCCATTCTTACTTGGATAAGCCAGGTAGTTACATGAGGATTATGTTCTTTGATTTCTCAAGTGCATTTAACACCATCCAACCACCCATTCTTAAAGACAAGCTGGAAGGGATGGGGGTGGATCCTTGATTGTGGATTACCTGACAAGACGACCACAGTATAGCAGGCTGGGTAACTGTGGCCAGTAGTAGACAATGTACTCTTTTATGCTGCAGTCTGCTGGGGCAGCAGCATTTCCACCATGAACACAAAGAGACTGGATAAGCTGGTCAAAAAGGCTGGGTCTGTGCTTGGCAGAAGTCTGGACTCACTCAGGACTGTTGTGGAGAGACGCATGCAATGTAAGGTCTATTTGTCTATAACAGCTAATGTGAACTGAAGGAGTAGTTAAAAAGTTTTTAACAGAAGACGACACATCCTTTAAAAACATTCGGACGGACATAAAGGTCACAATAGTGATGGTGATACACCTGTTTAAGAAGTGACCAGAAAATTCCACAAAAGCTACAAAAACACTTAATGAAGTTATATGTGCTTACCAGTGCTGGGTCTTCATGTCTGTAGAGGGTGACAGCGGTAACAGCAGGCAGTCCCAGCCACTGACCCGGTGTCAGTGTCATACTATCACTTCTGGTGGCCGCCTGGAACAATATGCATAAATACACAGTCAACATGAGGTAGACAGAGTGAGGTGAGACAGTAACACTGGGACGGATGGTGTGGAGAGCATAGTCAGATGTTTGACAATTTTTCTCTTCAGGTTTTTACACTGTGCACGTGATAATAGATATTTTAAAGCACAGAATATCACAGAGTTGGCTTCATGTATCTGTAAAAACAAATGATTCAGTTTATTCTTCATTTCTCTGATCCACAGAGGGAGCAGTGTCACTGCTGAGGAACACTGGTTGGAAAACGATGATAAGAAGGAGAAGGAATGTTCTCAGTTCTCTTACAGGCTGCACCACTGATTTTAAAACTTATTTTACAGTTGAAGACCATTGTCCACCATGATCACCATACATTTTATAATCAATTTCATCATTTATAATATTGATAATGAATGATGATTATTAGGTTTGTTTCTTATCATTTTGTAGTAAAACAAGGGGAGAAACATTTTTAAGCTCTGACATAAGAAGAATCTCCATTCACAGCGTTCATAGTTTATTAAACTGATTTTAGTTTCTTTTTGCAATAAAAAGATGATAATGTTATAACAGTGAACATGTATACAACTTCTCTGTGTGTATTTAAACATGTGCTGCAGCTTTTTGTTAATCTGATAAAATGTATGTGAATCAAACTGGGACCATTTAAACATGAGATTACCATGACGGCAGAGGTGACCTGCCCAAGCGCCAGGGTTGCCAGGTTGACCCTGCAGAACAAAAAAACAACATTATAAGAAATAAAGATGATAGCACTGGTGACACTTCAGTCACTCATCAGACTCAAGCCTGAAAACATCATAGGAATAATGCTCATGTGCATTTATAGAATTAATGTTTTAAAGTGATGCTGTCTATCATTTAAAACCAGAGTCACCTCCTCCTGGTTGTTTCCTTCACCAACCCGACAAATATCAGGGAACACAGTCTCTCCTTCCTCATTTACAGCACTGAATAATGGCCAGAAGTGTTTTTGTTGAACATTATGATGTCACAGTGAAGTTGACCTTTGACCTCTTGGATATAAAATGTTATCACTTAATTTTATGTTTATAGATATTTGAGTTAAGTTATGTTATAATTAGTGAAAAAAATTGTGAGTTATGGCCAAAAACATGGCAAAAACGTGACAGATGTAATGAAATTCCCTCTATGTGTTCCTGATACATTGCATTCACAAGAACCTGAGATCACTGTGACCATGACCTTTGACCTTTGACCAACAAAATCTAATCAGTTCATCCTTGAGTCCAAGTGAATGTTTGTGCCAAATTTGAAGAAGCGTTTCATTTCATTAGAAATCAAAAGGATCCCAGTATGGGTTGCTCTCATCTTTAATTTGCCCCTTCATATTGAAAGGAGTCTGTGTCTATGTATTTGCCCTGTGATGGACTGGCGACCTGTCCAGGGTGTACCCCGCCTCTCGCCCGAAAAGATGCCGGGATAGGCTCCAGCCCCCCTGCGACCCTACTAGAGGATAAGCGGAAGAAAATGAATGAATATTGAAAGGAGCCAGTTTGAGTCTTTGGGGCATCTGACTGGGATGCCTACCAGCCATCTCCAAGTGGGAGGACAACTTTGGGCAGACCCAGAACATGCAGTACATGCAGTATATCTCCACATGCCCAGTGTTTCAAGTATTTCCTTGAGCTAGAGGATGTGGCTGAAGAAAAAGGTATTGAGATGCTTTGCCCGATCTGCTGCCACCGCTTCCTGGAGAAGCAGTGAAGAACGAATGGAGGGTTTAGATTAGATGGTAAAGTGAGTAAATTTAACCTGATGATGTTTACCATGGTCATCATCAAAGCTTCAGTGTGCTAACATCTCAATGTATGATAATAAACCAGTGTTGGAGAAATTAAAATGCTGACTTGATGACTGCACCAGAAACCAGAATTACCACCTCATGGTTGTTGTCAGTCACGCTGCAGTTTACATTCATGTCTGCCCAGACTCATATAATATACTGTATGTAGTGAAGCCTTTGAAGGAAAATAATAAAAGGTGCTAAGATTCCAGTGAGAAACATGCTGTTTTCACTCAAGAGATTTTTTACAGAGGAGCACAGAGCACTGATAGAGAGCTTCATCACATGGTGCAACGACAATCACCCGAAGCTCAATATCATCAAATCCAATCAGCCTGTGGTGGACGACCAGAGAAACAAGAGGCCTCCTGTACTGGTTGTCATCCAGGGAGAGGAAGTGAGGAGGCTCAACTCTTACAAGACAAATCATTGAGGCTGAGTCCTTTACAACACAAAGTTGTAGCCATGACAGAAGACAAGGCTTCAAATATGGAATACAAAATATGGTCACAAGCTCCCCTTCTGTTCATGGGTTATGGCCAGAAAAGAGTTTCTGTAGAACGTTATGATATCACAGTGAAGCTGACCTTTGTCCTTTTGGATGTAAAAACATCATCACTTCATCATTTGATCCTATTAGACATTAGTGTGAAATTTTAGCTTTGCCTCAGTTCAGGGGCCATGTCCATCAGAGGCTGCATTTGAAGACTGACTAGACTGTCCCATTTCGAAGGCTCCTGGGCAATGAAGGACCCAGTGGGTGAATCCTTTGCAGCCCAACCTATCCCAAGATTCACTGTGCATCATACAATCTATGGATGAATAACTTTTCAAAAAGAGACAAAGGCAAACTCTGCAAATGAAACAGCTGCAGAGGATTAATAGGAAATCCTCCGTAGACCAGACCTCCTTCAGAGGCCACGCCTTTGTAGGCCGCCTCCTCCGAAGGATGTGGCCCCTGAATTGGGACACAGCTTACTTAATAATTAGCATATGAATTCTAGCGTTATCACCTTATCCACCAAAATCTAATGAGTCTGTGTGAACGTTTGTACCAAATTAGAGGAAACTAAACGTTTCCTCAGATATCACGAGAACTGGACAGACATAATGAATCCAGCCACGAGGCATCAAAACACAAAGCTCCACCAAAAGCTTCAGAACAGGTTCTGACACTACAGCTGACAGGAGGTAACAGTTACATACAGTATATGAGGGGATCAAAACAATGAGTATATATATATCATGTATAGTCTAACATTTCAGGAAAGACTTTTATTTGTTGCCTGGCAACCTCATGGCCATGATGACACTCCAGGACGTCACTTGACGCCAAGAAATAGTTCAAACATGTAACTGCCCATAAAACCAGAACTTGTCATTCCATCATTTCTGTTTGTGTATGAAGTAAACAAACCACATCCTAATTCCAGCTCTGTTCTGATGAGAGGCACAGAGATGAGACAGATGAGAAATTACAACCATTTATTTTAGAGCATAAGTTGTAGAGGAGGAGCTGACCTACCCCTCCACATGAAGCCACATTTTGTACTGGTCACACAGGTCCTTCAGGCGACCCAACTTGTCTGTATGACCTGCCCCAGGGGTGCCTGGTAAAAAAAACACACGTACACATTACTGCACTGAATTCCAAAGTAACATATTTAAACTGCAGAAAAAATCTCATAAGCTGCTAATCTACTGTTACAATAATATTATCTTTAACTGCTGTCATGTACCACATGCATACAGAGTGCAATGTTTGTCTGTTAGTGTCCTTCACCTGCATTAGCGATCAATAGCAGAGGAAGCTTCCCTGCCTCCACGTCCTCTTTGATCAGTTTGTCCAACAGGGCAACATCCTGACAGGGACAGACAGGACATGAGCCAAAATCATTTTCATATCAACTATCTGATTCGCTGTGTCTGTTTCATCTGTGTTCTCCTACCATTTGGTGTTGGGATCCAAAGATGGTGTTGCATGGGACTGTGCACAAACTGGAGAGAGGCAGGCCGAGCTGATGACACAGAGACAATCACTTTGTATTATGTATGAAAATGGATAGAATACAATCAAAACTGTGAATAAGTAATACTGAATATTAGTATCATTGGGAAAATGTCTTATGGACTGATGAAACTGAGGTTGACTTGTTTAGGAAAAACATGCAGCTCTATGTGTGTGGTGTAAATGGCACTGCATACTACATCCCAACATCATCCTCCCAGAGGTGAAGCAGGGTGGAGGGAGCATCATGATCTGGGTCTCTGCTGCCTCTGGACCTGTTTATCAAGGTCTCTTCCAGGATCATGTCAGGGTGTCTGTCCACCTGCTGAAGCTGAGGAGAAGCTGCTGATGCAGCAGGACAATGACCCTGAACATCGGAGTAAATCCACCTTCTGGAGCGGGCCAGTCAGAGCCCAGACCTGAATCCAGTAGAGATGCTGTGGACTGAACTCAGAGAGCCGCTCACACCAGACATCCAGAGAATCTGTCTGACTGAAGCAGCTCTGTAGGAAGAATGGTCCAAACTTCCTCCTGAACATTGAGCAGCTCTGATCAGCAGCTACTGAAGAGCTGGTTTCAGAGGAGCCTCAACCAGTTATTAAATCCAAGCCTCACTGACTATTTCCATCAGCACTGTAAATGTTTAATGGCTGTGTTCAATGAAGACACAGAAGATTATAGTTGTTTGTGTTATATTAGTTTACTTTACACTGTGTTTGTCTGTATTTGCAACTTAGATGAAGATCAGATCATAGTTTATGATTAGTCAGTGCAGAAAACTAGAAAAGATATTTTCAAAATACTTAATTTTGTTGAAATGAACAGACTAACTCCCTCCAGGTAAATGGGGGTGAGAATTTGTAAAAGATCACAGTGGAGGTAGAGGATAGGATCTGGGATCGCCGAAACTCTGTCGCTTTAAGGGTGATATTTGTAAGTTTTGTCCGCAGCCGACCGTGGTTTCTCGCTGGGAGCAGGTGGTGTTGATTGTCACTTGACAAGAGCTTCTTCCATCATTTTGTTTACAAGACAAGAGGTTATAATATGTCCTCTGAGCAGCTATTCCTTCACAACAGATCGGAGGTTACAGTGAGTCACTATCAGAAAGTGAGCAGACTGGCTGAAGCTAGCTGGTTAGCATGCTAACTTCAGTAGAAGAAAAGAAGTGAAAGAGACAAGAGTTCACATTGGTGTTTGTTTCCACCTCTGGAGACAGATGTTGGTGAGTAAAGGTTTTAAACATTTCTTCTAGAATGGTAAGTAAACAGCTGTTAATGCTAACGCTAGCTATATAGCAACAGCAAAATTACAAATAGCCCTTTTCATCTTCATGATTTCTGGGGTGCGTGTGCGTTTTTCTCTTCCTACCTGGCTGCAGAGGTGTTGTCCCAGACCAGGCCTGCAGGACGCACTCTGGTAGATGATTGGCTGTTTGAAGCTTAGCACTGAATAGCCCTCAGAGGCGTATTCTTCATAGCGGGCATTGATGATCAGCCGACAAACTTTGACCAGGCCATCCCTGTTATCCTCATGGAAGTAGGCTGAACCGTTCTCATACCTGGGAGACACGTCACATCAAAGTGTAAAGACTAAATACTGAAAGTAGAAAATGCTCAATAACCAAGATCCACCAATGTTTCAAGTCACTCAGACTCAAAGAAAACAAATGGTCAAACTACAGAATCTGAGAAAACATGTTTCACCCAGCCTCAGGATTCAGTGTTACCCATGACTTTCATCCAATCTTCACTCTTTTTTGATATTTAATAAAACAGTTTTGTAAGAGAAAAGTAAAAATGAGACCTAGATGTATTACAATGGCCAAAGTAATGTGATAAGATGATTTCTAGATTAAATGACTTTACCCCATTTACCATATCAATGTTGGTAGCAGATCCCAGAGGTTTCACAGTACAGATGTGAAAATGTGTAGAAACAACCAATGGAGTTTAATCTTTAAGGTGATTTAGAGTGTTTTATCTAGAGAAAAAATATTATATGTCCTTTTATCTTGTCTGTTTTCATAGTAGTGAGGGACTGGACATTGTTAGGATGTGGGACAATATGTAATACTGTTCTATGTGCATGTTATGAATAATTTGTGTGCTTACACTAGACTGTGATTGTCAGCATCAACGGAAAAGACAGACAGAGGTGATTTGTACAGATCCAGAGCCGTGCTGCAGGGTTGTGGCCTCAGTCGTACCTGAACAGTCTGCAGAGCCATAGTGTGGTGTCAGACAGGATCCGTGTGGTCAGCTTCCGCAGTCGCTCTCTGTCCAGCACTGAGATGTAGGCCGCCAGGCTGTGACCCAGCAGCGCCATGTGACCCTGTTCACCCACATTCTGCATTCTACTGGAGACACCAAACAGCAGCTTTACCATGCATTGCACACTGAGGGCATAACTCAGATGCTAAGCTAATGTAACTCAACATTGCACATACATGCATCGGGCGTGTACTGCACAAAAATGCTTTATAAATCAGGAACTGGGGGGGAAATACACACATCTGAAATGACTCGGCTTTTTCACTGTTATAACTTCACACCGAAAAGTACAACAATCACCACAATCATTAGAAACTGCTTCATCATCACTCACACTTACAAAGAATTGTTCACTTATTAATAAGGATTTTCCTCCATGAAGCTACAGACCGCTCACTCATTAGTTCGACTTACTGTTGGCTGGGTTTGTCCTCTGTCTCTTCCTCTTCATGAATGAGGTTGTGAACTAAGTGCAGAATAGTGGCGACATCCTGACCGCTGAACAAGACACACCAAGAAACCAAAGATTCAGTTCCTTAACTGTTCTCCAGAAAACAAACTTCAAATTTATCATACATTATTATTAACAATAATAATAATAATAAGGATAACAATAATAATACATTTTGACTTTGTTTCCAGTCACTTCCTACTTAAAGCTCAGACTTGGTCTCTCAACAGTTCTCTACTGTGCAGAAATATGACATTAGAAGATTTTTAATGGACTCTACTCTCACTACTTTAACAAAGTCTTTTTTTTTTTGTGCTTGTGCCACAATGGAACAAAAAGTAATTTTACTTCTCTGCTATGGAAAATCGTTTTCAAAGTTCTTCAAGGTGTCAAATGCTGGAGTTGTTCCGATAGGAGTATGTGAGTCTATGTACCAATCCGACACCATGTAATTTATTCATGAACTTTATAGTTTCACAGCCAGATAAAATGTCAGTTTTCCCCCAAATGAATTCTTCTTTGCTGCTCTAAAACAGTAGCCTATACAGGAAGTTGGTGTGCAGCTACTGTTTAAGATCGCAGAAGAACAATTGATTTTTGGTTGATAGTGTTAACCTAAGCCAATAGCAAAATTTCGTCAATTTTGGAACATGTTACACTAGAAAGTCCCCGCAGTAAAAAGGAGACGTGTTCAGTATAAAAGGCTTTAATCTGGAGGGGTGGCACCAGTGTAGGAAGAGTTATTTATTCCTAGATTCATTTTATTATGATTTACAGTCAAATTAGATAACAAAGGAAGGATTCATGTATCTGTTCATGTTTTACAGAGGGTTTAGCCTGAGCCTGTTAAAACAGTGCTATCAGATCAGTACTCGGTATTGACCGACACACAAGTTCAGGTACCGGAATCAGTATCGGGAAGGAAAAAATGGGATGGGAAAGCCTCTAACAAATGTATATTTTTCTTGACTGTTCAAACCTTGATGAATTTGAATATGTTTGCTCTCATATTACCAAGTGGATCAGAATCCCTTGACAGAAATTAAGTCAATCACGTTTAACTGGAAAACAAAGAACCTTAAACTCTAGCTTGGACTGATGAGTGTGTGTGTGTGTCTGTGTGTGTGTGTGCGTGTGTGTCTTACTCTCCCTGCAGCGGTCCAGGGATGCTGGTTCTGCTGAAACGCCTCCTCTCTGTTCCCGGCTCCAGCTCTCTAGACAGACGGATACAAACATACAAAGATCTAAAGACGCTCCAGTTTGATATATTATGTAATGTTGCGTTCATGTGCTCCTTAGGATGGATGTTCAGCTGCTTTACATGTTTGACAAGTTTGAGATCTTCGACTTGTTGTCAAAGATCTAAGAATCTTCCCGCCTTCACTGAAGTCACAGGGTCATCAGGAAGTCAGATCTGATGTTTCTTTAATTACAAGTATAAAATTTTTCCTATTACCTCTGTCCATCTTCCAGGATCTTCATGGCTTCACTCAGATTCTTGCCCACTTGAACCAGCGTGGAGTCCACCATCATCTAAGGCGTTTGAATGTGTGTGTGTGTGTGTGTGTGTGTGTGTGTGTGTGTGTGTGTGTGTGTGTGTGTGTGTGTGTGCTGGGAGAGAATTAGGGAGAATGTTAGGACAATCATTTAAAAATAAATAATTACATCAGCACAGTCAACATGCAGACACACATTTAGACACACTGATACCAATTCCACAGCGTTCACATGTAAAAACCTACAGCGTGTGTCGGTAACAGTAGAACACCATTTTCATTGTTTCCCTCAGTTACAGTGTTGTTGCAGGTTGTGTGCAGGTCAATGAGCAGCAGACAGTGAGAGAGAGAATGAAGCCATAAAAAGACCAAAGAGTAGCTGAAGTAATCTATTCAGATCAGCACCCAGGACCTGATCTGTCTAAACACATTACACCTGTCATACAGCAGCTTTTCCCTTCAAGCCTGAGATGAACCATTAAACCGGACTTTTTCAGTTGTATTTGGTTCTTTGGGATCATATGAGAACAGGCGTGCAGCAGTGCACCACCTGATGTCATAAAGACTCAGAGCAGGCTGAAAGGCTCCTAATACAGAAGTTCAGAGTTCAGAAATGTAGCATCAAAATTCTTATGAAATAACAGGGAACATGCTCAACTGGAAACCTTTTTATATCATTGTTTGACTAAAATGTTGTCACAGCAAATACAGCAAATATCATTTTTTCATTTCATTTTCACTGAAAACAGTTTTTGTTGGGTCTTATAACAAATAATCGCGTTCCCTTAGGTCTGGAAAATATGATTTATAGGCAGAGGCGTCTCTCTAGCACCACACTGCTTCACTAATGGTCTGTTGTCACATTTTTCACATTTATCAAAACAAATGCAGCTCCTGTGATTTGGATTTTGCACTTGGTCATATTGAGATTTCGATAATATTTCAATTAATTGTTCAGCCCTAAATTGAGTTTTAGTATTTAGTTTTTTCTGTATGAATTTCAGTGATGATAACTGTGGCTTTATTTTTGAAAACATCCTCACTTTTCTGTTAGAGCCTAAAGCTCAATGTGTATAAGACTTTAATGAGGAGCTGTCATCATTTGTCATCATGAATTATTTAATTAATAATGCTTCTTTCACGTGTCCCACACCAGAGTTAACCAGGTTTCTTGTAAACAAAACTTCTGTTACATTCAGTGTTCCCTGTGTGTACTTGAGGTGAAATAAATGTGTCGAGTGTATTTCCTTCCTCATAAAACATTTGCTGATAAAACATCAGCTGATCTTTTCACGTATTTTAACTGCAGCAATGTTTACATCCATGTTTCCTAGCTTGTAGTCTTCTTCTTGCCACCCTGTGTCAGTGGACTGCAGCATATCTTGGCTTGTTATTGCCATCTATAGGTCAGTCGAACTGTGGATAACCATTGGTTGGACTGTGTATCGTGTCACCTGTGTGTGTGCATGCGCATTATAAATGAAACGTGACCCACTCATATAAAAACAGCTCCATAGCACAAATAGCACTAAAACTTTTAACGTTACAGTGACAGGTGTGCTGTCTGCCTTGAGGGGGCGTGGCTAGTTTTTGAGTTTCAAGATATTGCTCTCCATCTACTGTTCTCATCATTTATTTCACTCAGGACACAGAGAACGACCAAGTCCAAACCGAACACAGCTCGAGAAAAGTACGAGGAAACACCTGAAGATGTTGAATCAACAAGAGAAGCAAACAACCTGTCGTTAGCAGTGGGGCTGGTGAAGCTAGCTCAGCAACCTTGTCTGTGGAGCCAAAGCCCTCCCACAGGAGATGTGATGAGTGCATTTAGAGTGCTACAGAGGACTGTGGAGACTTAATTCACTAAAATTAGTTCTTGCCCCATACAGCTATCTGCAGGTACTACCTCTAGTACTACTCCCCCGATAGCAACACAAATTATTGCACGCTCCACCTCCCGCTCCTGATGCTGTGAATGTCCAATAAGGTTTGAGTTTTTCCCTGATCAAACTGCTGAGATGCTTCCCCGACACAGAGTTCAAGGCAGTCCAACCTCAGGTATGGCTATCTTTACCTATAAGGACTGACCTACGTGCTCCACCAAGTGAGCCACTGGGGCACCCTGGCCCTACATTATTTTACTGCAAGAGACATGCTAAGGGCAATGTAAAGGCAGCGCTTCAATATAATTGGCTGGGCGCAGCGTATCAAGCTAACTTTGGAGGCAAGGCTTGAGGAGTAGCAGGAGAAACATCCCTTTTATCCAATACACAACAATTGGGGATCCCAATGGTAGAAATCTGATTGTGTCAGGCCATGTTAGCTGTACGCCAGTGACCCCGGGTGTTAAATCATTCCAAAGAGGTGGGATCCTCACCAAGACAGAATTCTTCTAACACTGAAGAAAGGCTGTGACCCCCCAGTTAAAAACAAATATGTAACATTTTTATCAAACTGCCTCAATGAATTCATTAATAAAATTATACATCTGGATCTGGATCTTTCTTAATATATATATATTTCAACATACAAAGGCTTTTTTTAAATATGATGTACACTCTTGCCTGTAGCATGGAAGACTCAGTTGGAATTTCCCTTGAGGTTTAAAAGGCTTTTAACCAAATTGAGCAGCCTTATTTGCTGTCTTAGCTAAATTTGTTTTCAGTGATTCATTCATGAATTGGATGAGGATCATTTATAAAGAGTCTACAGCTTCTGTTACAAACCAAAATATATCAAATCCCTGACATGCCAGGGTGATCACATTTCAGCATTTATCTTTGCTTTAGTTCCAGAACCCTCAGCCTCATGTATACCTGAAGCTTCTATTGCCCCTCTTTTAGATTTAATAAACAAGTCTGGCTCATTCTCAAGGTGGAGAATAAGTGAGATAGAGTGAAATAACACCTTTATCACAACTGGTAGACAGGCATTCCTGAAGACCAGCACGTTTAAGATTGTCTGAGATAAACTTTCAAGCTTGGGTATTACAGAAGAGAAGAGAACAGGGCCATAACTTTTCATAAATGAAACAGTTGGAGAAAAACATAAACTTTTGGAACACCTTGCCTATGTCAGTAGGACATATTAATGCTATTAAGATGGTAGCATTGCCGAGATTCAAGTACATCCGTCAATCTTTCTTCAACAAGATCGACTGTTGTTTAATATGTCATGTGGTCAGGTAAATAATAAATATAATTAAATAAAGTGAAGGTGGATTTGGTCGTCCCTATTTTTAATCCACTATCTGCCTGTCCATTTAAATATTTACTTTCAGGCGTGGTTACCCTCCTGGCAGTAACCTGGAAGAAATGCCTGCATGACTGCACCGTTCTTGTGAGCGTTCATGCCTCCCAGCACTCCTTAACACTCCAACAAGGTGTAAAATAACATATGGAAATAACCCCATAATCCAAACCTCTTTAAAAGTTTTGTCCCAGGTGTTGTCTACACTGAAAAGCCCTAAAATATACCTGGACCCCCTGATAAACTCCAATTACACATTTTCACAATTTGGGATAATCTCTTTTAGAGATTGCTCATTAATAATCATCTCGCCTCTTATAAGCAACTGCAAGAAATTTACATTTCTTCTGCTTTCTACATCTATGACACTTTTTAAGGACTTATGTCCCACTGTATGTGGTACTGACTGGTACTGCAGCATATCAGGGCTCAAGCTGAGGGACCTCCCGTCATCCCAGGACCGAGTTTGACCGAGTTGTGAGCTAGCAAGCAAGTTAGTTAGCAGGATAACAGGCGCTTTGTGTGTCAGTGTGAGTGTGAGAGTGACTGAAACTGGACCCTGCCTACACCCAGCCCACTTAGTTTATTGCTGTTTGTAAAGCAGAGCTGCCAACTCTCACGCCACACTTCCATTTTCTCACACAGTGAAAACGTCACGCAGCAAAAAGAGGACGCAGCACAGCGTCACTCCCTCTCTCCACTCACAAGTTACTATGGTAATGGAGATTCTCTATGGCTCCGTCACTCTGAAACCTTCTCATGATTCCTAATTAGGGATGTCACGATACCAGGAATTTGGTAGTTGGGACCAATATCAATGAAATTCCACAATTCTCCATAAAACACCAAAAAACAGAAAACAACAGAGGCTGCTAAACAGACAGTGTGATCACACACACACACACAGAAATATTTATTTTAAAAGTCTGTGTTATATTCTGACAGACAGAAGTGATGACTGTAGCTGCTAATGTTGTGAGGACCAAGCTCATATTATGAGCTGTCGCTGTATTAGCATACACAGGCTAACGTTAGCCTAAACAAGCTAACATTAGTCTCTATGAACGTTGTGTGTGGAGCATTGCTACAACAGATGTCAGCTGTCATAGACAGACACACAATAACAGTAACATTTTTGGTTTATATTGGGTTGCAAACACACACTCATGCTGCCCAAACAAATCTTGTGCATGTGTTTGAGTGATTTATTGTTGTGCATTTTATTCATCTCACAGGCCACTTTCACACACATCAAACACTAAAAATGACACGACCATCAGCAGGTGGTGCTATCATGAAGGTAAGGGCATTTAGGCCGGTAACTCACACATTGTACATTGCACATTTGAAAACCTTACATGTATGCATTTCCTGAATTTAGCTGAATTTGGTGATATAGGCCATGCCCACTTCTTACAAAAAAATGTGAAATATGTGAAACTATTTCTAAGGCTGCATAGGCCACACTGAGGTTCTGTACAGTTTGGTGCATTTTGGCCTTGAGGTGGCACTCTAGAAAATGAAAAATATGCTAAAACCTACTTTTTCAAACTCATCTTAGGTTGAAATCCAGTCTGTTTTAACATCACTATTATTATCATTATAATAATAATAATAATTATTATTATTATTATTATCATTATTATTATTATTGTTATAGCTACTGCAGGATCTCTTTAACACAACAAGAGAAGGCATTAAGTATAAAGTGAGCTATCAGGTATCTTTTCTAACATTTACACTGTGAGAATTTCATGTCTACATCTGTTGAAGGCCACGTATCTTCATGGTCGTGGCTATAGCAGGTGCACTGCTAACGGAGGAGGATCCTCTGACAGCC